GGCTCGGCTCGGCTCTGCGCCCGTTTCACCGCCCTTCGTAGCGCTGCGCCGCCGCGAGAGGAGAGGGAAGGAACCGCTGCCGCGCAGCTGCCCCCGAGGGAAAAGCCCACCATGTCGCGGCCGCTCCCGCTGAACCCCACCTTCCTACCTCCCACCTACGGGGTGCTGAAGTCCCTGCTGGAAAACCCGCTCAAGCTGCCGCTCGCTCACGAAGACGGTGAGGCTTCCCTGGGCAGCCCTCCCTCCCACCCCCCCGGGGGCCGGCTCTGCCCCTCCGCGGCGCCTGCGGGCCCCCTCACAGCCCGGCCCGGTGAGGGCAGGCGCCCCGAAATGGCGGCCCCCCCATCCTGCCGTCACCTCAGGGACCGCTGCCTCGCTTTCCCTCCTTTCTCCTCCCTCCCACCACCCCCTCCCCTGCCCCCCAAGGCGATTAAGTAATGGGATGATTTCGGTAAGGGCATTAGGCGGTGAGCGATGGGCGCAGTCGGCCTGACCTAACGGAAGGCGCTCGGTTTTTCCATCGCCGCTGCGGGGCCGGCTCCGGCCGCCTGGAAAAATAAATTAAAAGGGCGCGATTTGCCTCGGGTGAAGTGTTGGGGGGGGGCGGCTCGGGGCCCCCCCCCCCCCAGCCTGAGCCGAGGTCCGACGGCTGCTCCGTCCTGCACCGCCGCTTAACAACCACCCTCGGTGAAACCTGGCCCCGTGTAACTGGAAGGCGTTTTAACAGAAAGTTTCAACTTTTCTGGAAAGCTAAGGCAGCGCGGGCGTAATTGCACCTTGTATTTCTAATGAATCAAATGCACGTTAGAAAACAAACTTGTGAAAGGTCTTGCAGAGCCAAGGTTTCTGAGTTTTGTTGCGAAGCGACTTGCAGGTTTTCACCGGGGTTGTTGCATGTGGTTAAAAACAAAATGTTAAGAAGGCATGGTAGTTGACAGGAAGCTTTACTGGTTCAGATTCTTGCAAATCTTACAGAGAAATCGGGTGTTTCCCTTCAAAAATGTGTGTTGAAATTGGTGGATACTATAGGAAGCATCACTTTATTTTTTTGCTTTGCTTCTATCTTTGAATTTTTCATAAGCTCTTCTGCACATCAAAATACATACTCTGTCAGACTTCACTGTTATTGTACGTTACTAGCTTACAACAATGTTAAGAAGAACTGAATTTGAGGACTGCTGTCCATGTGTAAGGACTAGCAAGACCAGGACTTTGAGAGGATAATAAATTATGGGGATGTTAGGTTAAGACTGTTCTCAACAAAATACATAATATCTTCCAGTTTGCTTCCACTTACATACTCACTTTTAAGTCTGTTGAGTACTTATTGAAGCTGACATTCAAAGCATGCAGTGGAACTGTTAACTAAAAATAGAGGAAAATCTCAAAAAGACGGTTGGATCCAGCAAAGATGCTCAGTTGGCATGACCCTTCAATTCTCTACCAAATGGATTGCATCAAAGGAATTATTTTTATGAAGGGAGTATTTGTTTCTTACAACTGAGAGTGCAGGAGAAATAATTGAAGTAGTAGTAGTAGCTGGTATTTTAATTGCTCAGCTCTTATATCTTTATTATGTGTTTTGTTTAAGCATTCGGTAAAGAAAAAGACAAAGAGAAGAAGTTAGACGATGACAGCACCAGTACCACAGTCCCTCAGTCAGCTTTCTTGGGCCCAACATTATGGGACAAGACACTGCCATACGATGGAGACACTTTCCAGTTGGAATACATGGACCTGGAAGAATTCCTCTCAGAAAATGGCATTCCACCCAGCCCAAACCAGCACGAGCATAGCCCACACCAGTCAGGTCTCCAGCAAGCTACCTCAGCATCACCTTCTGTCATGGACCTCAGCAGCAGGGCTTCTACTTCAGTCCATCCAGGCATGGTGTCGCAGAACTGCATGCAGAGCCCGGTCAGACCAGGTAAATCAGCCCTAAGAACTTCCTATGGATTTTGGCATGAGCCCTCCTTCAGTGTAAATCACTGCTTCTCCCTGTATGGTTGACAGGCACCTTAGAGAGGGCTGACATGATTCAAGTTACTCACACTCCAAAAAATAAAAATAATAGCTTTAGTTATTGCCAAGTTGCTCCACAGGGGTTTTTGTTTAAATTATGTAAGGAAGCTGTGGGAATTCCAAGGAAACTACCTATCTTTTTTTTTTCATTGATAGCCTAGCTATTAGCAAATAAAAAGACCACAAACAGAATAGTAGTGCATATATGCCATGGTGTTGAATGAACGGGGAGAAGGACTCTGAAAGAAAATATTCCTTTAGCCAATATTTGATGTGAGAACACAGGAGCAGGCAATTATTTTGAAGTTAAAGACAATACTTTCTATTTGAAATATTGGCCATAATCTTGTTCTCTATTGAGAAAGTAAAAATTTGCCACAGTACATGGGGCAGGAACTAAATTTTGGAACTGCATTATAATCTTGCTTAAATTAGCATAAACTGAGTGTAACTCTGACCTGAGTTGATAAGTAACATCTATAGTCACCTTAAGCTGTAGGCAAAGAAAACATCATGGAGTCCAAGTTCTGATTGTAATGCATGATTCAAACCTGTTTGATGTCAGTGGAAATCTTCTATTAGTTTATTAGCACTTGTAATCATCTCTTTAGAGACACTAGCAAGAATCCAGAATAACTGCTCTGGTTTGACACCAGTATGGCTGAGATCACGGTCAGTGGAATAGTGTCAACGTTGAAGTTTGGAAAACGTGGAGCTTTGCCTTTTTTTCTTAAAGATGACCAAGGGTGACTTTTATTTATTGTGCTCTTCTGCTCACACAAGGTTTGCTAGAGCAAAGTGTGCTCTTGGGAGCAGGAAACCACTCCTCACCCTTCTGCTTGATCGTTTGCCATGCTCAGCGTGCGAAGTCATTGTCAGAATCATCTGATAAGGAGGCAGAATAAATAAATAGAAGGACAAAAGTTGTGGAGCAGGATGAAATAGAAAAGTCTTACAAGTCTGCAACATTCCTTTCTCATTAAAAAGAAAACACTCCCCAAAACACTCCAAACCTGTCAACAGACTCCTTGGCCTCAGGTCAAGTGTGTGTTTAGTTGTGGATTTCATTTACTTTTACTTTATGTTGATTTGACTTTGTTTTGTATTTCATTTTCAAGGCATTTCATAGTTAACTAGTAACTTATAAGGGTTCCCAAAGATAAAATATATTTTGAGTTGGCAAGAGCAGAATATAAAAAATCCTTGCTTTTTCTGAGCCAGTTTTTTAAAATAGTGCGTATATGCTACACCATTTTCTGTCGCATATGCACACATAAAATTAAAAGCAGATAATCTGTCCTCATTCTTTTTTTTTTTTTCAGAGAAGCCTGCTTATGAGCCAGGCTTTTAATGATCACCTGTCAGAATTTATTTGTAATCAGCTATCCGCATGACTTTTCAACTCATTGATTATTTTGTTTTTTTTTCCTGAGCCATCTGCAGCTCAGGGTTACAAACTTTCCTCATTAGAAACTGTGTACTTTTTTTACTGTTCTAAAAGAATTCATGTCTCTTGGGGTGGGATAAAACATCTAAATTTGCAGGTATTTTTTCCCTACACCATCTTGCCTTAAGAATAATATAAATTTTTTGTTAAAGTGTTTTTTAAAAGGGACCCCGTTCCGTTTCTTAAAATAGTATTTTCTTCCCCCCCTCCCTGCCATTACAGATGGGTACTATGACTTAAGTGACAGTAGTCTGGTTTATCATCAGGTTGTTGAAATTTTTATGTGCTGTTGTGTAAAAATCTTACTTTGACAATCTGTTTTGAAGAGAAGATAATCTTGGAGTTTAGCATTTGAGCAAGTTTTAAAATAAGACAGTATATGTTTTAAAAACTAAATTTTTAGTGAAAGTAGAAAGGAGCATTTAAGGTTGTCATAGAAGTGCCAAGGCAAATGTGCTGCTTGGAAATAAGAAAGTTAGTGTGGAGGTAAATGTTAAAATCATTATAATAGAGCCTTTTGTTTAATCTATCTTAAGACTTTTAAAATACATGTTTTTTTAAACTGTCAAATGAAGAAAGGTGTTCTAAATGGTGTGAGCTACCATTCTGGTATGCATGGCTGTTGTGATTTTTATTATTGTAATAAACCCAAAACCACATAGTAAAAAGTATACAATTTCAATAAAAATCAGTTCCATGTGATCTTACTATTTTTAGGAAAACTGAATTTTTTAGGTGATAGTAATTCTTCTAAAAATATTTCATTGCTGTGTCCTCTGAATTTTGTCTTACAATGGAAGCCTGTTTGAGCGTGTGGACTCTGGCTGAAGGAAGGGTCAAATCCTGTACTGCTTAAGTCCTTACTTTAAATGGCTCTGCAGCATTTAGCATCAGCGTATCACGTGCAGTTGGTCAAAACTCCTATACCTGCACGTACTGTGTATGGGGGAGGATGTACGCAGGCACGTGGAACACTGAATGTGACTCATGTACGTACATGATGTATCTCGGACATAGAGGGTCTATAGAAGAGTGGTATAAGAAGATTTAATTTTGTGTGTGTGTTGAAATACAAGCCTTATCTGTCTTTAGAAGCTGATGGTATTGCCCAAATATGTATTTTATACCATCTCTGGAAGAGATCTGGAAATCTGCATTGGCATTCACTGAGAAGTGTCATCAGGCTCAGCAAAACTAAGCTGACCCTGACTGCAAACATGACATTACAAAAATCCTGACTGTTCTCGCCGCCCTTCCCCCCCGCCC